GCTCGCCCATAAGCTACTCAGCTCAGTGAAGCAAAAGATGTAAGACACTAGAGGAAAAACGTACGCACATTAAAACACACAATCCAAATCCAATCACCTGGTAACATATGATGAACAGGGGTGGCTATGCTGATGTCCTGGAGATGCTTAAGTGTTTCTGTATGAAACAGGCGAAGTGTGGACCCAGATGTAAAGGCGATCCAAATCCCTACGCCAGCCACAGCCATGTGAGAGATCACCATGCCTTCTTCTTGGTGGGCCTCAAGCTGATTCTGAGAAAATCAACGAGAAGGTGACGGATGGGAGTATATGGGGAATGCACCTGTAGCTTACACCACTATGTCACGAAGTCTGTCTGTTCAGATTGGTCCTCTGAACTACATATGAGGCCTCATGTTGTATGATTTGTCCTGACCACGAAGTGCCCAGTGGAACTCTGGAGCTACTCAGCAGGCACGTTCGATGATCTGTAACACAATGGAGACTATTACTCGAAAACTATGGACACTTCTGTGCAGGTGAGAAAATGACATCAGCAACCAAATTGCTCTTGTTATTTTTTCTCAAGCAGATCAAAGTACTTCACAGAACTTAAAAATTTTCAGTTATCACAGCACTCTTGTGAGCTGAGAAAGCTCCATCTTTGAAAACATACAAGTATGCAAAAGGACCCAAATCCCATGAACCAAAAACCAAACCCGTTGCTGTTGAGTCAATTCTGACTCATAGCGACCCTACAGGACAGAGTAGAACTGCCCCGCAGGGTTTCCAATGAGGGGCTAGTGGATTCGAACTGCTGACCTTTTGGTTAGCAGCTGAGCTCTTATCCACTGCACCAGCAGGGCTCCAAGGCCCACTAAGGAAGGACTGAAATAAAAGGGTTGTGTCCAAAAGTAAACACAAGACCACCGAGTAGGCTGGGAAAAGGAGGAAAAATAAGAGGGAAGTGGGAGTGAGCAACGGGAATATCTGGGAACTAGAACGTCTGCAATTGTCTAAGGAGGCAGTCACTCTCCACCTGATTCCAGGCACCTAGCCTCCGCACTACCTTCTCAAACACCTTTCATAAGCTCTCGCCGCCTGCAGAATCATCTCACCTCCCTAGCCTGGCATCTGAGGTCCTCTGAAAGTCAGTCGAGGCTCTACTGCCCTGAACTCTTTTTGCAGGAACACCTTCAAAATCGGGTTTCCCATGTTTCTCTGAGTTTGCATTCTCACCTCCAAATTTCTGATCACCTGGAAGAGCCACCCTTGGTTTCTCTACTTGACGAAGTCGTTCCCAAACTTTCAGGCTCCACTAAAGCCCCACTTCTTTATCCTTATAACCCTGGTCTACAGGGAACCCGAGAAGTACCTCTGTCTGGGTCCCTTATGATGCTATCTGATGTCCTCATCTGTTTTCTCATGTGTATGCCTGATGCTTGCAGCTCTTCATGGCAGGAGCTGTGCTGGATCCATCTGCACTACCAGCACCTCACATACCACCCAGCCCTGCACATGGCTGGTGCTTGGCAAGAAACGTCTGTTGCTGCTATCACTGCCTATTTGTGATTGGAGGACATGAGTGAGGGCTGGGGATGAGTCTTAGAGACACAGTGCAAAGAAATATCATCCTAAATAAATTCTTGAAATTTACAGCAGATTACAATCCTGTGTAATTCTCTAAATTGGAACAGTGTAACTTAAAACCCCATAGGAAACAAACAAAAAATTACTTACATCTCTGACCTAAGAGTTGTTCCACAACTTTTCAGAACAAGGGGAAAGACTATTTATAATCAACTAAATTACTGAGAAAA